TCATGTGTTTCCTTTTATGTGCTAAATAATAGTAAGGCCTATATAACAGAACTGTAGCACAGACTAGACATAGTCCTAGACATAGTTGGGACTCCAGTTTGGTCCAATTAAAATAATTATTCATTTGTTTGTTTTATTCAAGATAGGGTCTCACTGTGTAGGTCTGGTTGTCCTGGAACTCACTATGGAGAATAGTCTGGCCTCCAACCCACAGAAATCTGCCTGCCTTTGCCTCCCAAGTGCTGAGCTTAAAAGCGTGAGCCACTACACCTGGATTTAAAAAATAATAGTTATTATTGAGGTTTTGGGGTTTTAAACCTTTCATATCTTTTGGTGAAAGCTTTTTCTTTTGAAAATTTAAGTTTTTCATATAGTCTCATTTTTTTAAAAATATCATTCTTTGACTAAATTTAGTTTATCTCTCCTCTGAGGACTATAGTTATTATTTTATTATTCAGAGTTATTTTCCTTTCTCTACCTAAATCAGAATTATCTATGCTAAGCATCACCACATAGAAATATAGCCTCAAAAGGTAAAAAGAGCAATTGAAGAATAAATGACATTATTTCACTCTTTCTAAGGATAATCTTGAGAGGACACCTTAATATGATTAAATTCCTAGCTATTTTGTATCTTTTAGGTTGTGTGCTGTTCTAAATCTCGATTTCTGTAGATTAATTAGCATTAACTATTATCGGTGTGAATAAAATTGCACTTGTCTTTTTCTTCATGGATAAGACAGTATATCCTCAAGGAATTGTGATTACCATCTTCCTCCTCCTCCTCTTCCTCCTCTTCCTCTCTCCTCCTCACTGTCCCTGCAGGTGCGGAGGCGGTCTGGACTGGATACTACGGCTTAGTGTATAACATGGTAAAGATGCTGTGGGAACTCCAGGATGACGGGGAGCAGGATGGACTTAGAACCATGCTATGGCAAACACTGCAAAAGATAAAGGATTCAGAGCAAGATCCGCGAATCCAAAGTGCGTTAACAATCGCCCAGGTAAGTTCTCAAACTTGTCCTTCTGTGTGCAGAAATAATTGTCAGTTCTCTGTTAAAGTGGAATTTCCCCAGTCAATGACCAGCAGTGACTCATGAGAATGTAGAGTTTAGAGGTCCATACTTGCCTGTTTTTAATGATGAGAGTTAAGTTCTAGGTGATGCCATAAAATGAGACCCTTGTAACTTTTAGTATAAGCAGAATTAGCAACAGACCCAGGCCCCAAAACAAACAAGCAAATAAACAAACAAACCCAAGAAAAGACTAATTCAACCACTGTTTTTGGCCATGGTGAGAAGTTCTGACAGATGTAGAGTAGAGTAGACAGAGCAATAATGTTACCTAGGTTTTTCTCTCACTTCAGAAAAAAATGGCGGAGAAGCTTGGTAAGAAATAGATGTTTCAGGAACATTGCATGAACTCCCGACTTGAGAGTTCCTTCTGGGAAGCAGTGAATGTAGGTGCCATTTTCTACAGGGAGCTGTGACAGAGGTCAGTTGTCCTCTGTGGATCTCAGAGCTTGTAGAACATCTGTCCAGGGCCTTCTGGCTTTTAGAGTCTTCACTGAGAAGTCCTGTGTTTTCTAACGGGCCTGCTTTTGTATGTTAGTTTTTTTTTTTTCCATTGCAGCTTTTAATATTCTCATGTATTCTCCGTAGTGTTTTGATAATTGTGTGTTGTGGATAATTTCTTTTTAGGTTCTGCCTGTTTGGTGTTCTGGGTGCTTCTTGTACCTTGAAAAGCACCTTTTCTTTAGCGTAGGGAAATTTTCTTGTATGATTTTGTTGAAAACAGTTTCTGTACATTTGACCCCAGCTTTCTGTCCTTCTCTTCCTGTTATTTGTAGATTTGGTCTTTCACAGTACGCAAAATGTCCTAGATGGCTTGTGCTTACATATGTGAATAGTTCACATTTCCTTTGGCTGTGGTATTCACTTATTCTGTTTTGTCTTCAGTGTCTGTGACATTGCCTTCCCAGTCTTACACTCTTTTGGTAAGGATTACCTCGGGCTTTTGTTTGACTTCCTGAATTTTTCATCTTCAGTTTTATCTCAGTTTGTGTTTTCTTTAGCAATTCTGCTCTGTTTCATGGCTTGAACACATGCACTCATTCACACAACTCCGTACACCACGCACACTCACAGGTTGCTTTCAGATGGACTCAGGGTCACAAAAGAGGTAAAATTTGGGGAAAAAATCCTAAGCTGTTTACAGAAACTAAGAAAAGATAGTAAGAAAAATAGAGTAAGAGACTATGAAATCAAATACATAAAATTGATCAACTCAAAAGCTGTTCCTTTGGAGTAGAGTAAAATAGACTATTTGTGGAATAAGTCGACAGTGGGGAAATAGATAATTGTCATGAAAACTGGAGGGGTAAATGGAATAAAGCTCAAAGAAAATAATTGTGAAACAATTATTAGAAGGTCCTGTGACAAGTTTATCTAATGTATTTGAAGATGAGAGTACAGTGGTTGGTTTTAATGTCACCTTGCCACAAATTAGGGTCACGTGAGTAGGGAGCCACGCCTGCAGACTGTCCTGCTTGGCTATTGTTGTTGGCCTGGGTTGCTTCCCAGAGACTGCAGGTAAGTCCCTGTTGCTGAAGGCATCATGGCATTCAGAGCCAGGTCTCTGAGGCTCTGGCCGGAAAGCTTTCTCCCTGCTGGTCCTTCTACAGTCCTGGAAGGTACAAAGCAACCTGCCAAGGGGGAGGCAGCCGGTAGTCTTCCTCAGCTGAGAAGCCTTTGGACCACACCTGGAACCAGCAAGGCAGGCTATTCCTAAAGGCGTGAGGTGGTTCTTCTTTTTCCCACTCTTTATTCCCCTGGTTTCATCCCCTATTACTAGATAGGGGAGAAAGAAGGACAGAGAGAGAGAGAGAGAGAGAGAGAGAGAGAGCGCAAAAACCCTACAAGTAACCGAGGGATGATGAGAGCTACAGAAGGAATCTTTCCTCAGGGATGTGTACCTTAGCTGGTCATTAAATCCAAATGGTCAGCACTGAAATCATATACAGACACACAACACCAAATAGACCTAACAGGTTGTGTTTATATATATACTCATGTGTGTGTGTGTATATATATATATATATATATATATATATATATATATATATATATTTACGCATGTGTGCTCATGTATGTATATTTGTGTGTATATACATACATGAATTAGAGGATAGAAGTCAGAAGTTTGACAGGGTGCAAGGAAAAAAGGACATGGAATGAGTTGGAGGTAGCAAAATGAATGAGAAAAAATGATTTTATTGTATTTTAGTAATATTAAAAATAATGCATCCTCCAAAGCTGCAAACATATTTCTGCATTCTTAGACCCTTCCAGGAGTAATTGATTTACTATATACCATACGATGATTTAGATTCAGCTGAGCAGTAATTGTTAACGATTAGTGTTGAATCTGTAATGTGAAAGCAAGCAAGCCCTGATTGGTGTAGCTGACGCGGGAAGGTGGATGGGAGCCCAGGTAAGAAGGGTCAGCAGGAAGACCCTTCCAGCCTCAGCGCTTTGCTCTGAGTTGACTGGCTCCGTTGCTGCTGCTGCTGCTCATCCCTTTGCTGATGCTGGACTGGTGTCTCCAGGCTTCCATCCTTTGCTCAGATCCCGCAGCTTTCCAGGAACCTTCCAGGTTTTTTACAGGAGGTGGTGACGTCTCAGACACTCAGCCTCGTGGACTGAGCAGCCACCGGGATTCTCCAATGTGTGACAGCCGTGGTGGAGCTCCTACTAGTGAGGCAACCCGCCCCAGCGACCAAGCAGCTAGTGCGTTCTCATCGTCTTGAGTGTGAAACAATGGTTACTATTTTAACATCAGCGGATCCAACAAGTTTTCTTTATATATGGTCATCCTATTGGCTATTTTCTAGAGAGAATCCTGGCTAATGCAGCGAGAGAACGAATGACTTTTCTGAGAAAATAAAAATGATAGAATTGATATAGTGTATGTAGAAAACCAAGATGAATATGGCCATTATCACGTTATTTAACATGGCACTTAGTCACGACAGCCCGTGCACTTACATGGGGCTCTTTGCCATTGAAAATGTGTCAGATAATAGACGAAAAATGTGAAGACGTTGTCAGACTTCAGTACTGGCACAGCCACAAACAGAAATGAAACAACAGTGTTTAGATTCCAACCTCATACAGTCACCTGGACGGGGACAAATGACGGCCCACAGCCTGATTTCTAGGGTGCTTGGGAATATTAACGGTGCTCACAGGCAGAGATTGGACACACACAGGAGCAGGAAAACCCAGTGACGGAGAGTACAGAAGCCCCAGGGAGGAGGACCCAGTGCAAACTGCAGGTCCGTACAGAGATGATGTCCTTAGGTGACCTTGAGTGTGTTTTGAAGCTTTCGGCCTCTTAATATTTCTGTAATGGAACTATGAGTGAAGGGAGCATTTATATTTAATATAAAAACAGTATCAAATGTCAATAAACTTCACATGAAAAAAATTAACATAAAATTGAAAAATATTTTGAGGGAATTGAAGGTAGTCACAATCCAAAGGAAAACAATGAGATCATCATTTCTTCTGCAGTGGTTTCTCTGTGTCTTCAAATCATGAAAATGTGGTCCAAAGGCTAGAAAAACTTCCCAGCATTACCTCTGATTTCCGGGAGTAGGACTTGTTACAAGATTCCAGGCTAAGGGTTGAGGAAGTTAGGGTTGAGGAAGTTGGGCTTTTACAGGTTTGGGCCACCGTTAGCTCTGAATGTAACTGTGCAAGTTGCCTTTTCTCTGGACTCATCTGCACTCAAATCCTTTTTCTTAGATTAAAAATATGTTTTACGCTTTCTGGGTCTTTAGGTGGTTCTTCCTGCATGACTGTGTGTTTCTCCCCAGTAGGGACATTCTGAAGTTAGTGAGGCACTCCCCTGAAAATACAGCTACGACAGTGCAGTTCTGCTTCTCGTCAGGACATTCACAAAGTGCGGCTGTTTCTTCCTTATGTCTTATTCTCCATCAAGATAACTCTTCACCATCTTACAGTATGCTTTTTTTTTTTTTTTCCTGTTGTTGAAGTTTCTTGTTCTTTCTTGGGTTTGAATTAGGGGTTAACTGTTCACTTTTAGAGTTTATTATTATGGATTTAGCAAATGTTAGTAGGTGAGAAGATCAGTTGGCTACATCCTCTACAGTGTATTGTCGAAGCATATAAACGGTGCCTGCTGATGTTTCAGAGTCTGTGCTCCACATTCTAGTACAACATGAAACTTTACCTTCCTGGAGTTTTAATTCTCTGTATGAGTTGAATGAATCTATAGGAACTATGTAAGATTAGGAGGTATTTTTTTTTTCCCTTGGAGGAAAACAGACCATTGAATGCCCACTGGAACTAAAATTTTTAATGTCACCAATTTGCTATTATGCTCCAGTTAAGTTTTATCTTTGTTTTTTGATTGGGAACTGAGAATGAGACAACAATGAAAAGCAACTATCAAATCAATGGTAGTGGCCACTGGCTCATCATCCTAGAGGCCCTCTGTAGGACTTGACATGAGGCTCTCCACGCTCGTGACTGTATATAGGAGACTGTTTGGGGGCACACTGGGAACGGCAGTCAGAGTTCTGCACAACTTGTAACAGACTAGGCCGCACACGCCTCTCCCAGAGCTTCATTCTTCTCTTCACTGCCTGTTCCTGCTGTTCTCTGACCTGCTGTCCTCTGTGACACCTCCAGTCTCAAACGGATGCCTGGAACTCAATAAGCCAGCTCACATTTGAGCCTTCTATAATTAGACTTCTGTTTATGTGCCTGCTTTTCGGGGCCAGTCATTTGACGTAAGATGTTCTTCTGTTTTTAAAGTTTTCATAAATATCTATAGATAATTGCATTTGAAATTCATAAGTCAATCAGACACTCAAGATGATGCAAGCAGAGCCTCGGTACTCAGTGGCTTGGTACACAGGATAGACAAGAGTTCAGTGACTGCACATGCCATGTAGTTTTGACATTTAGAGGCTTTA